TCATTTGCTTTGCCCGTTCAAGTGCGAAAGCCGTCTCCTGCTTCCCGCTTTGAAAATCGTGTTGCCAATTTAGCGAACTATAAATTCTATGCGCGTAGTAGGTGCGTAGTTAGAGGCAAAATGAAAAAAAGGCTTTAAAGACTTAGAGCACATTTCAGAACAAGTCACGTTCTAACTTTAATTTAGTCGATTAAAATTCAATTATTTTTCAAAAACGTCATTTTAAAATTAAGACTAAATAGGTGACCGTGTTATTGAAATTGTACTCAATCTTTACATATTTTCTGGCATTTTACTTCTTAAAGAGCTCTCTGTAGCTCTTAAGAAAAACGAAAAATGCATATAAAATGACGCACAAGAAATGAAAAATTTTTATTCTATCAAAATTTCTTAAATCAGTATTCAGCTCTCAAGAAAAAAATGCTCGTGTACATATTTATTTATTCAAGAAAATTTACAGCAACAACAAAGTACTTTTTTCAAGCAACTGAAAGAATGAAAAATATTTCTTGTGATTTTTGTTGAGAACTGAAGAGAACCAAAGATTTCCGATCGAAAAATATTGATTTTCAAGCATTCTATACCATTTCTACGAAAAGTCGTTTTTTCCGCATATAAAATACATGGAAAACTTTGAGCGGTTTGAACGACCTCTAAATATTTTTTGACTTCAAAATAAATAAAAATATAGGTGTATAATTTGAATTTGAAAATAAATAAAAATACAGGTGTATAATTTGACATTAAAGTACGAAACTGGTCCCCACCTAGCCCCGAACTAATCCTGAAATGCTCTTGAACAAGTTTAAGACTTAGAAATTTGTTTTCGCGCTCATAATTAGTATGAAAATACTTTCGTAATATAAGTCTTAAAATAAAAGTCTTATCTCTCTTTTTATGGAAGGACTTTTATAATATAAGTCTTTGAATAACAATTATAGATGACTCGAAAAATATTTATCTTAATATAATGATTATTGATTGACTTGTATGCTTTTCTCTTATAATAATTATGTCTCTGTTTACACTCCTTATAAGTCTCATAGTGATTGTTCGAAATCGTTTGGAACAAATTTAACTCTTTTTTGCCCATATACCGTGATACGGTTTAATGTACATACACACTTAGATATGTATATATGTAGCACAAAAAATTGTCTTACCATGGCCATTGGCTATATAGTAAATTAGTGGTATTCACCAAAGTGAGCAAGTGGCCTGGCACTGTGGCAAGAGAGCAGATGATCCAGCGATGATAAAGTTGTCACAATTGTGCTTTTTTGGTACAATTTGAAACCAAAAAGTACATTGACACCACATAGACTTTTTTGGTACGATTTGGAAATGCAACGCTGTGTATATTTTGATGTGTTATATATTTACGTCGGTTAAAACTTCTACTTAGCAGAAGATTATATCATAATATACAAATACATACAAACTCTTTAAAACAAAATGTGACTTACGATCTCACAGAAAGTGAAATGCCTAACTTATTTTTATTCTACTTTTAATACATATACATATGTATATGTTTACAAGATGTTTGTTTGAAAAGCGTTAAATAAATGTATATTTGTTCTAAACATTCGTTCTTTTTGTGAAAGCTTTAAAACTTTTTGTTGGCACATTTTTATTTGATTTTGGTACATTTTTTTCAAACACTTGATAATAATAATAATAGATTGGCGCTTACACATATGTTAGTGTTTGACCGAGCTTCTCCTCCTTCTATCCTTCAAACACTTGATACAATTTCGAAAAATTCATTTATCATCCCTGAGCTGATCTGCTCTTTTACCAGACAGAGTGGCCTGGCACTTGCGCACTTTGGTGAATACCACTATTGTAAAAGTGTCTATACCTTCAGGGAATATTAAAATGCAGCCGTGCATCCTTATACATACATACATACATATCTTTGCATCCTTGCATTCGCTGTCCGACTTGGCACATCACCCATCGCGCCCAATTGTTTGAGGTCCATGTCATTATTTTTTCAATTTCCCGTTTCTTAAGCGTATTAACATCGACATCCGTCGTCATTGACTGCACCCTCCTTGACTTTGACACACAAGTATGACTCTGAAGATTTATAGTAATTTTTTATTTTTTGTTTTTTTTTTCTCCTTTCACCTGCTGCGGTCGATGTTGGTGCTGCTGCTGTTGCTCCTATTGATTTTGCATGTTTTCCAACGGCAATAAGCAGCTTACAAGCAAAAATTGGTACTCTACCTGGAGATATCTTGATAATTTCCTCTTTCTTGTCATATGTTGGCTGCTTTACGCGGCGCTATCGAGAGGAGTTGCAGCAAAAGATGTGGATGACGAGCTTTGCAAAAATCGAGGTAAACAGTGAGATTGCTTATTTAAAAAGGAAAACTAATGATGAAAATGCACATACATAAATACAAGTACATACATACATACATACATATGTATTTTTCTAAAACTCATTTCTTTTTTTTTTTTGTTTTGTTTTGTATAAATAGCCACTTGTACCGTACACAATTGGCGTTGATCCGCTCACCCTGCTCACGGACGATGCACAAGTTGCGACTTGGAATAATGAAGGATTACCGGTGGATCGTATGTCAACGGAAAATGCAACAATTTTAACTCACTCGACCCGCTGGCCATTGATGATTGACCCTCAGCTGTAAGATTAATGCGGAAAATTAAGCGCAACTGCACATTCGAGAGCACTTTACTTTACTTTTTTTTTAACTTACCGTTAATGGTTATTTAAAGATTACTTACATACATACATTGGCAAGCTAATTACTTATTTGTATAAACGAGTGCATTTCTGCTATGATAGAATAGAACCAGGTAATTTATTTTTTGTTAAGAGGAGAAAATTAATGTTTTATGTAACTAGTTTTTGTTTTTTTATTATTACCTTCCTTTTATTAGCTCGGGATGTAACTATGTGTGTAATATTGATGCGCCTAAAAGATGCAGCGATTTCTATTCTCAAGTTACATATGTACCTGTTGACAGTACGAATGGCAATTACAATAGGGAGGTTTTAGTTTTTTAAACTATAATTTTATTGCACATATTTTTGGTACATTTTTGTACTTCAATTTTACTTTATGGCCGCTAGAAACAGGAAGTGGCTTCATGAACGCTTCGACGCTGTTGCCTGGTACTATCAACCGATCAACTCCTCTCCGTTTTCAGAGGTTTTGTACTGAAAGTTAAATGTGCCTCCTTGGCCATACCTGGCGTTAAAGTTGTCAAGCACTATCTTAGCATCGTGATGGGGACAGCATTCGTATGCTTCTTTCAGGCGCTCATAGAACGCTCCTTGGTCTCATCGTTATTTTCCGCCGTCGGGGACTTGAAGAGCAATCAGGCTGATACTCTTGAATACAACTAATGTGGATTGTTGATACTCGTTCACTGATGTGGGCGAACCTGGAGACAAGGAGTCAGAGTGCCCGCCCAACCACACCAAATTTGTGTGCCGTCTCGTAGCAGCCCTAGTACACAGATGTGTCACGTACCAAATTTTTTGCAGCGTTGTCCTCTCCAACGCAATAGTATTTATCTTTGAAACCCATTCGTTGGAGAGAGGGACCTTCTCTAAAGAGGGTCAGGCATAGCTGCAAATCGTAATACATATTTCGGAGGGTCAATTATCCGATGGAATGGATATACGTTTTTAGGATACGGTTGTCATCAACTCATTGCTGGGAGGTTTACATATAGTATAAAATTATCTCCTTGCTCAGTGAGCCCTTAAACCGAAGAAGTCGGAGTGGTGCCACCGGAGCTCCTCTTTCTATCGTATCCCAAGGCGTACGCCATTTCTGTCCTTACATCTCTTGCCTATTCCTTTTAATATTACAATTACTTGAAATCTTCAAGTTTCGCAAATATCTAGCACTTCTATGGCTTCTTGTGGGAGGTATTGCTCAAAAAAGAACAACAACTACATAGTCACTACTAAATTCTTGTGACTTAAATCAACCCCTTTATACTCAACGATATTTTCATTATGGAAGCCACAGATATCTAAGAAATTTATGATAAAAGATTTCTAACCAAAAACCCAAAGCAATTTTATGGGTTCAAATATGCGATTGTTAATGATCAGCTTATTTCTTATATCTTTATTTATCTCTTCCATAGTCAAGGCATTAAGTGGATAAAAAACAGATACGGAGATACACTCGTTATTATACGTCTTAATCAAAAGGGCTTCCTAGATGTGCTGGAAAAGTCTATGGCTAATGGCGAGACTGTGCTAATTGAGCAAATCGGTGAAACTATAGACACTGTGCTGGAGCCACTGCTAAGTCGCGCTTTAATCAAGAAGGGCCGTTACATACGCATATGTGGCAAGGAAATGGACTTTAATAACAACTTTCGTCTTTTGTTGCATACAAAATTACCAAATCCACATTACAAACCTGAAATCCAAGCGCAAACAACGCTCATCAACTTTACAGTCACACCGGATGGCCTTGAAGAGCAACTGCTTGCCGAGGTAGTGAAAATCGAACGACCCGATTTGGAACAAATGAAAATCGACGTAACAGTACAGCAAAATAAATTCAAAATTTCACTTAAAGCCTTGGAGGACGAACTGCTTGTGCGTTTGGCCTCATCCAGCACGAATGTATTGGATGATCATGCGCTTGTCATCAATTTGGAGGCGACGAAGCACACAGTTGATGAGATTGAGCTGAAAGTGCGAGAGGCGCTCATAACTAGCGCGCAAATTGACGAAGCGCGAAATAGGTATCGTGCAGCGGCCAAGCGCGCCTCTATACTCTATTTTGTTCTCACCGACCTCAGTCGTATAAATCCCATCTATAGGTTTTCGCTGAAATCGTTTATGAACGTTTTCAAGAAGGCAATTGCTACTGCACCGAAAAGCAAAAATCATGAGCGCCGTGTACAGCATCTGGTGGCGTCGATCACGCTGCAGACATTCATTTACACGATGCGTGGCCTCTTCGAAGTCGACAAATTGACGTTCACTTCACACATGATCTTGCGTATTCAGAGCGCAGCCGGACAAATTTCCAAAGATGAGTTTGATTTCTTGTTGCGCTTTCCACACGATCCAAACTCATTGTCACCTCTGGAATTTGTAAGCCGAAAAGCTTGGGGCGGCATTAAATCCCTAGGCGGTATCGAGCATTTTTATGGCATCGATAAGGACATGGAAAGCTATCCGAAAAGATGGAGTAAATTCCTTGCCAGTGCAGCGCCAGAAAGAGAGCAATTCCCGGGCGAATGGAAGTATCGTTCGCCGCTGCAAAAGCTTTGTATTATACGAGCTTTACGTCCAGATCGGATGCTGTATGCCATGAGGTGAGTAAATGATGGAATTCGTTTTCAAACATACTTTGATCTTAATTTCAATGAAATGCTCCAATATAATATTAATCCAAGGTATATTTTTTCAGATTATTTGTAGAACTGACAATGGGCAAGGAGTACACACGAACACAGACATCAGCTTTTTCGGAAATCTTCAAAGAAATCAATGCCAGCACACCAGTTTTATTTATACTTTCACCAGGCATTAATCCCGTGCGTGATGTTGAGCTACTTGGCCAGCAGTTGGGCTTTCGGGCCGACAATGACACGCTTATTAATATATCACTAGGACAAGGTCAAGAACAATTAGCCGAAGACGCTATCATAAATGCATTGACCAATAAACACCAGTGGGTTGTCCTGCAAAATATCCATTTAGTTGTCAACTGGCTTCCTTCATTAGAGAAACTAATCGAACGCATAGTTGCCGAGACCGAGCTGAATGATGACAACACCAATTCAAATTTCCGTTTATTTATCAGCGCCGAACCCGCGCCAGATCCAGNAAATGCATTGATCAATAAACACCAGTGGGTTGTCCTGCAAAATATCCATTTAGTTGTGAACTGGCTTCCTTCATTAGAGAAACTAATCGAACGCATAGTTGCCGAGACCGAGCTGAATGATGACAACACCAATTCAAATTTCCGTTTATTTATCAGCGCCGAACCCGCGCCAGATCCAGAATATCACGCCATACCGCAGGGCATACTTGAGTCTTCGCTGAAAATAGTCAATGAACCCCCGTCAGGCATGGCCGCCAATCTACACAAGGCTTGGGACAACTTTTCACAGGACTCCTTAGAAACCTGCACACAAGAGGCCGAGTTCAAATCAATACTCTTTGCGCTTTGCTACTTTCACGCTGTATCGGGTGAGCGCTGCAAGTTTGGACCGCAGGGCTGGAATAAGGCGTATCCCTTCAATGTCAGTGATCTCATCATTTCAGCCAATGTGCTGCACAACTACTTGGAAGGCAGCAGTCGCATACCATGGGAGGACTTACGTTACCTATTCGGGGAAATCATGTACGGCGGTCACATTACGGACGACTGGGATCGTCGCCTCTGTCGCACATACCTCGAAGAGTTACTGCAGCAAGAGCTCATCGATGGCGATTTGGAGTTGTGCCCGGGTTTTGCTGCGCCTCCCAATCTTGACTATCAAGGCTATCATAACTACATTGATGAAATGTTGCCGCCTGAATCGCCCGTACTTTACGGACTGCATGCAAATGCCGAGATTGGCTTCCTAACCAGCGCATCGGAGCAACTACTTAAAACCATATTCGAGCTACAGCCACGCGAATCAGAGCTTAGCACAAATTGTGGTGCTCCACGAGAGGAGCTTGTGAAAATTATGAGTGAGGACTTTTTGGATAAAATGCAGGATGAGTTCAATTTGCAGGCCTTACTTAATCGGGTGGAGCGTAAAACGCCGTTTGTGGTGGTGGCGTTGCAGGAGTGCGAACGCATGAATGCGTTGATATGTGAAATCAAGAGATCTTTGCGCGAGCTGTTGTTAGGCTTGAAAGGTGAACTCACTATAACTCCCGATATGGAACGCCTAGATCATGCCATTTTCTATGATAGCGTGCCAACAACTTGGGCCCTATTGGCTTATCCCAGCATGTTGGGCCTGCAAAGTTGGTATGCAGATCTTTTGCATCGTATTAAGGAATTGTCCAGTTGGCTCAACGATTTTAAGCTACCTTGTACTATTTGGCTTGGGGGGTTGTTTAATCCACAGAGCTTTCTTACAGCCATAATGCAAGAGAGCGCACGAAAACATGATTTGCCCTTGGATCGAATGTGTCTTAGCTGCGAGGTGACGAAAAAGGAGAAGGATGATATTACGTAAGTAACTTATTTTACTAATACAAATTTTATTATATTTTAATAGAACAAGTAAAACTTATAAGTCCAAGTTTGTTGAGTTATGGTAGAACGGAAATCGTTTGGAATGTGTTTCCATGTGGTGAAATTGAAAGACGTTTCGTTCTGCTATAACCTATGAAGCTCAGAAAGGACCCAAATGAAATATTTTTGAGTTCCATAGCGAAAAGGTTATGATCAAAGGATGCTGAATTGAGCTTCTATCGCTTGTCAGTTCGAAAATTTGTTCAAGCCATAAAAATAGTAGAAAGCTTTCTACTACAAGGACTCTGGTCTGGTTTGGTCTGGTTTCAAGCTACACCAAAAACCCATGGAGGGGCAAATTGAACTGGACAAAGTCAGGCGACTATTATCACGCTTTCTAAAGGTTAATTCGGAAGTTTCCCTTATATTTTACATGAGGAAAATACATTTTTTCAATCGAAAAAAATTTCTTTCTTCAGAAACCGTCAAGAAATAAAATAATGATGCTTATTTAGCTTTCAAATTTTACAAATTTTGTAATTTAAATTGAATTAAAAAAATATATATTTATGTATACACATTTTTCTTTTGAAGACAATAATAATAAAGTAAAAATAAATAAAAAAATTCTAAAAATTTATTTAATTTTAAATTTTTTCTCTTTAAAACAATAAAATCTAAAAATTAAATTGGAAAAAGAAAAAAACTAAATCAATAAAAGAATATATTTTTAAAACAAAGTCTAAAAACTA